CCGACAATATGTGCCGAGTACCTACTTTGGGCCAGGAATACATTGGTATATGAGACAAACAGGGTCCCTGACCTCATGGAGATTTTTCCCTTTTGGAGCCTTAGTCTTCTCAGCTGTTCAGTGGGTCTAACCAGGCTGCTGACTTCTAGAGTTGTTGGGAAAATGAAATGAACTGAGACCTGCAAAAGCCTAGCCCACAGTGTCGGGATAAGCCAATGACCAGGGGTGGGGGGTACGACGGGCCTGGCAATCGGACCTGTGCCTGGGGAGAAGCGACGTGGGCAGGAGCAGCTGAGCTGCAGCTGCAGGGGCAGCCGGGGAAGGGGCATGCCGGGCCCTGGTGGAAAGCAGGCAGGAGCAGCGAGGCGGGGAAATGGAGCCTCCGGGAGGGTGGGAGGGACCCTAACTGGAAAGAAGGAGAAGGAGGGAGAGGTGGTGGGAGGGGCATAAAGAGACAAGGTAAAGGGGGAGAGCAAGAAGGAGGGGGTGAGATACAGCAGAGACACAGACAAAAAGATCAAAAACCAGACAGACAGACAAACACGTGCACAGGTGGCGCATGGTGGAGAGACTGAGGGGACAGGGGGAACAAGGCCAGGCTGAGGAAGGGAAATGCCCTCGAGGCGGGTGGCTGCACGGACCCGGCCCTAGGCAGCTGCAGGACCCAAAGGAGTGGCTTTTATGTTTGTTCTACGCACACCCGATTTTGGTTACAAAGGGTTAAAACATAAAACAAGGGCCACCACCAGAGGCGTCCAGTCTGGGAGCTCCTGCCTCCTCCTCTGAAGGGGCCCCCAGCAGAGGGACAGGGACAGGGCACACGCAAGCGTGGAAGGCAAGGAGGCTTCTGTGCCCCATTTTGCGGGGTGGTACTACGGCAACTGTGAAGATGGTATTAAACTCATTTGTAAGCAGTTAGAAGAAGAGAACATAAAAGACTATGGGTGCAGCCTGGGGCCCCTGCCCCAAGGGAAGCACCTGGGTAAGGTCATCAGCTCCAGCGGAACCAAGCTGAGGACACCGCCCAGCTTGACCAAGCAGCTCTCAAACACCCTGCAACACCTACTCCAAGCCCGCAGCACAAAAACCACATGCAACCAAATGGACTCCCAGCCTAGGGCAGTAACGTTCTCTGGCTGCTGCTGGGAAGCAGAAAACCGCATTGGGTCACACAAGGCCCACCTGCCGTATTTTTTAAACAATAAAATCTCAAGCACATTACTTTGTGAGCTTTCAATTTTATTAGAAACATCACAAGAACAGTCAAGAAGCTGTGTCGGCAGACACGATGGGTTCTGTTACTGGTTCCACAAAGACCTTCCAGAGCTCCTGCAGCAAACAGAGAGAGGGGGAGATTCCGAGATGTGCAAATGAGACTTCACGATTTCATAAAGGGACGTAATCAGCAAAAGAGAAGCCCCAAACAAGACGCGAAAAACGGGCAGCATGAAAGCTACTGTGAGAGCAGGGAGCCTCTCCTGGTGCTTTTATTGCTCTGGGCTGTTCCGTGGAGGCGGAGCTGGATGCTGAGTCCTGGCACTGATCTGAGAGGCAGGAGGCTGCCACACTGTCAAAGGGACCAGAATGGCCACAAGTCGCACACCTTCTCCATTCTGGGAGCCGTGCAGCACAGCTGCTGGATTTTGTGAGGAGCTGATTTCTTGGCTGTGTGATGCTCCTCTTAATGCTGGCAGGTGGAGAAGGTACAAAACACGCCAAGTTCTTAGTGGGAGCCTGGCACCCTCACTAGGAGGGGCCTGGGAAGCTCAGAGGCCGCGGAGCGATGAAGGGAAGGCCCTCCTCGCACATGGAACCGCACACACGAACGAACGCAATGCCGTGCTTGCTGGTGGAAGGGACCGGAGGGCGAGCTGAGCTGGCCCCTCCTAAGAACCAGGCCGGGTCTCCAAAGACCCAGACAAAGGGCGGCTGCAGACAAGAGGCCGAGAGAACGAAAGACCTTGAGACTTATACGAATCCAGCTCCTACAAAGTTTAAGGGATTTTAAAGGGTCTTCTGACTTTCCAGATTTCCCCCTAGTGCTGGTTTTAAAACTGTAATAGGAAGTGATTAACCCCAGCCCCGTCCTTTCCTGGCCGGGACTCACCTTGTCTCTCGCTGAGACAGCCAGCACCTAGAGCATGTCATTGGGGTTATTGCTCAGAGGCCTATGTGATAGGACCCCACTTGCCCCGTCAGACGGGCCATCGGCCATCAGGCAAGCCCGCCTAGGCCACGAGGCCACACACTTTCACAGTGAAGACGTGGCCGTCGGCACTGGGGCTCTTGCATCAAGATCTTCGGCCCAGTCAAGAGCAATCCACACGCAATGCCCCCCCCCCCGCCCCCGCTTCCCCCGGAGTCTGCACTGCCTGCGGCAAGAGGAAGTGCTCTAAGGCCAAGTGACCGTTGGCCAGGCAGGTCCTCCTGGACCTGGAGAGAGCCCAGCGTCGGGGTCAGCGGGGAGAGCGCGGGCCGGGCTGGACCTGGAGGCTGGCTCACGACCTCCTCCAGCCGACAGCCTCACGCCAGAGCAAGCTGCCCTCGGGCGGGCGGGCACACCTACCAGCTGCTGGATGCGCTCGTAGACCAAGAGCTGCGGGAAGGAAGCGTCCACCGGCTCCACTGCGAAGCGCAGGCGCCCACCGGTCAGCTCCTCCAGTCGCCGCAGGCATGAGCGGAAGTGGTCGTAGGCCTCGCACGTGACCTCCAGGTGCCGCAGCGTGAAGTTCAGCCTGCGCACAAGCCGCGACACACACACTGCCTGTCACCACCAGAGGCTCTGTGGCTCCCTCCCCTCACGGCGCTGGATTTTAATTGAGCGCCTCCTTCATGCTGGGCGCCAGTGCGCGGCCTTCCGGCATCTGCAGGAGAGCCTGGGAGGTAGGGCCGGCTACGGCCTCCGCTCAGGTGGGGACTGGGGCTCAGAGAGGGAAAGGCATGTGCCCAAAATTCCACTCGAGTGATCGGGTCCACACGTTACCACTGGTCACGTGGACCCTGAAGGGGGTCCTGGAGGCCATCATTGTAAACAACGCTGCAACAGATGTGTCCATCTGGACGGCTCTGTGCACGGCTGGGATCGCTTCCTCAGGGCCAGTTCCAGATGCTGAACTGCTGGGTCAATCAGTGTGTTCGCACGTGTAAAATAGGTAGCTAGTGGGAGCCTGCTGTATAGCACAGGGAGCTCAGCACAATGCTCTGTGATGACCTAGATGGCTGGGATGGGGGGGTGGGGGGGAGGGGATATATGTATACACACAGCTGATTCACTTTGCTGTACAGCAGAAACTAATGCAACGTTGTAAAGCAATTATACTCCAATAAAAAAAAATCAGTGTGTTTGGTTTTATGGCTTTTGCTATATACTCTAAATTGCCTTCAGAAAAGCTGTGGGTTATCACAAGAATTAGAGGAAAATGTGTGCAGGGGGCCCAGCACCGAGTCTATCACAACACGGTCACTCCATCAACAAGAGCCCTAACGTTTCAGGACATCCGGGCAGAAACGCCCCGGAGGGGCTCTGTGTCAGGGCGAGGGCAGAGGCCCGGGGTGCAGAGTGGACATGTGTCTGGGCTTTGACGCACTCACTGCCCAGCTACAGCCTGGACGGGTCCCTGACGCCTCAGCCCTCCTCCCGTCGGCTGTGCGATGGGGATGGCAGTGCCTGCACACGGGGTTGGTGAGCGGATTAAACGAGGCCACGTGTGTAAAGGACCAGCAGGCTCAGCCGCAGCAGGTGCTGGATAAGCAAGTGATGAGGACGACACCAATGAGGACGCATCTGGAAGGTGAGAGTCTGGCCCCGCGAGGAGCTCACCTCTTCTCCACAGAGAGGATGGCGGTGGAGGCGTTCTTCAACCTGTGAGCCAGTCGGGACAGTGTTTTAAACAGAGCGTCAGTTAGGTCATCGTCGTAAAACACTGCGGGGAAGAAAACAGGAAAATATCAGAGGAAATGAGTCCTCAGCGGGCCCCACGGACGGAATCTTTGATAAACATAACAGCCACAGCGCTCAGAATGAAAGCGGCACGGAGCCGTGGTGGGAGCCGGCCCGTGACGACGAGCGGTGACACCAGCTGTGCCGCGGAGGCGCCCTCACCTTCGGCCGCGAGCAGGATGGTGGTGTGGCCGTACAGGTCGGAGATGTCCTCCTCCGACCAGCTGAAGGGGACCTCGGGATCTGTGAAAGGGGAAGGACACCTTGGGCTCAGCCCTTTCTCTGCGGGCCACCAGCTCTCACCGAGACAGACTGAAAGAAGCTTCAGGAAAAGAAATGGGGTCGGGTAAGCTCGGTGCAGTGGGCGCCACCAGGCAGCCCCGAATCCCAGCGCCTCCGCCACCCACGTGGAAAACTTCAGGGCAGGAGGTGCCATTTCTGCCGGGGCGGCTACCTTATCCATGGGGGTCTGACCTGCTGACTCGGCCAGTAGCCTGTGCAGAAAACGATCTACACCTCCGTCCATGGCATTCCTGCCCCCGTGGACTTGCTGTGTGACCCCAAGAAAGGTGCTTCACCTCTCTGGGCTGCAGTGTTTGCACTAGAATGGGCATAACAATGCTTCCCTCACAGGACTGTCGGGGAGACCAAAGGACCTCAAGTGTGCTAGGTGCTTGCTAGGTGACAGGCCCTCAACAAGCAATGATTTTCCTCACCTGACATCTGACAGGGAAAAGAAAAGTTCTTGTACAAAGAAAGAGCAAAGGTGCAGGTCTGAAACAGTCTGCATAAGAAATTTAGAAATGTTCCCCACCCAGCAGCCCCTGAACCCCTGGGGCCAACTCCCTGCTGCAGGCAGAGGACGGGTGCTAAGCGGGAAGCTGCTTCCTGGCAGGCAAACGGTCTAGGCCCTGGAGTCCCAGACTTGGGTTCACACCCTGACCTGCTAGGTACCTGTGACCCTGGGCAGGCACTGAACCTCTCTGAGCATCAGTCTTCCCCGGAACTGGGGACTATAGGACCGACTGGACAGTGATACTGTGAGTCTGAATGACAGAATGAGTGTAGGGTGCCTGACATGCAGCACCAAGAATGGCAGCTGTCACTCATCAGCCAACGGAGCTAGGACTCTGCTGGGCGGTCAAGGCCACAGGGCTGATGGCCTGGGGCAGCACAAGGAACCAATGAATCAACTGGGACACGACAGAGGAGGCCACGCACCTGTGCAGAGATCGTCTTTCAGCCAGTCCAGTTCCTTGACCTTAATCACACCGCCTGCAAAACAAACACAAGTGGAACTCCCCAAACTCTGAACACAGTTAGGAAAGAAGATAAAACTTCCCACTACACACCAAGATCCATCCACCCCACATTTTTTGTAGTGCTGAGCATCAGGCCCGGTGTCGGCCCAGGGAGCAGAGATTCATGAGGTACGTCCCTGTCCTAGGAGACCAGCAGGGAGCAGACACTGATATGAAAAGGACGTGCCAGGTGCACAGGAGGACAGGGCTCTCGTGTCGATGGGTGTCAGGGAAGGCTTTGAGGAGAAGGCACTTCACACCACTTCTTCCTTCCAGGCCTGCTGACAGCCTGCTGTGCCCTGGGCATTCAACAAACATGACACAGGGGATCAGACAGGGCCCTGACCTCACGGAGCATGTGGTCTAGTGGGGCGGCAGATGCCAATCAACTAGTCCCACAAACAAATGTCACAATACCATGGTTCAAGGTGTAAGGAGAGTCTGTAAGGGGGCTGTGATCTTGCCTGGACGTCTGAGCATGATTAGGAACAGACAGGAGGAAGAGGGAGAGGAAACAGGCAGGAGGAGAGAGCAGAGCAAAGGCCCCAAGCGGATGGAACCACCAGCAAGGCCAGGATGGCTAGAGCGGAGGGAGCCGCTGTAGGGAAGGGGCTGCCGACAGGCAAGGGCCAGGCCCCACGGGGTCCGGAGAAGCCAAGGAGTTGTGTCTGTACTCCGAGAGCAATGAGAAACCTCTGAAGGCTCTGAAGCCTGGGGGGCCAGATGACCCGGTCGGAGTCCAGAAGAGCGCCCCAGATCGCGCTTGGGGCAGGAGGCCTGGCCGGGCAGCTCCTCCATCATGGCAGTTCACTCCTGCAGCGGGGCAGGAATCTGATGGTCAGGCCGACAGGGCGGGGGCGCTCTGGGCAGAGGGAAGAGCATGTGAAGTGAGCCCGTGGCTCACTGGATGCAGGGCTGGACAGCGGGGCTGCCAGGACAGGAGACAGGAAAAGCCGGCCAGGGCCAGACCAGGAGGTCTGGAGCCAGAGGAAGAGCTTGGACTTCACCCCCGGAAGATGCTCAGTGGGGAGTGAAGGGGTCAGGCTGCATCTTAGAAAGGTCATTCTGGATGCTTGGGCAGCTCAGACAGGAGCTGGGGAGACCAGGTAGGGCCCTGCGACCTGCAGGGAGGAGAGAGCTGAGGTAGGACGTGGCTGTGGGCGTGGGAAGAGATGAGGCGAGGACAGAGCCGTCAAGCATCTGAAGTGACACAAAGCCGAGACGTCCATCCCTCCACTACCGGGGTGTCCAGGGACGCAGGGAGAACCCCGCCTCCCAGTGTCGTGGTTCTGGGTGTCTGTCTCACCTGCGAAACAGGGAAACCTCCCTCCCGGGCGGGGACCTGCTGGGCCTCACCTCCAGCGGCAGTCAGGTGGCTGTTAAGGGCAATGTTTCGCTGGCACATGGCCAAGAGATCTGCACCGACATCTGGAAAGACAGAAGGGCAAGTCATAAGGTGCCGGTCGTGACGACACTTTTATCTTTGTGTTTCTGCCTGGAGAGAGCTGGTACCAACAGCACGGCTGCAGAAACGTGCAAAATTGAAACAAAAGTTTCTCCTGTGTGTTTTACACTAAAATGAAATATATTCACCTTAAGGCTCTTTCTAATGATCTCTGCCTTAAAACAGAGAAGACTGTCCTGGTGGGGACAGACTCTGCGTTCCAGGGAAGGGTGAGAACTCCCAGCATCCTTAGAGCATATGACACATGCACACACTTCCCGAATCCACCCTCCATATTTCTAATGACCCTGAGCTGGTGTCATGGTCCCGTCACAGGCAAAGCGACTCCGGCAGTCACGTGGCTGGGCAGAGCCAGGGCTGGGATTTGAACCCAGGTGTCTCTGACTCCAACAAGCCTCGCTCTTTGACACCCCAGAAAACTGACCGGAGCCAGGAGGGCATTTGGATGTGATCGGTGGAGACAGAGCACATTCAGGCAGGCTGGAGGCAGGCACCCTGGTGCCTGACTCACCATCCCGCCATCACGTCTCCCGAGCCACCTGCTGCTCTGATGAGACGGGGGTTCCTGTCACTTGAGCAAACCTGAGTTGTAGCACAGTGTATCCTTGACGGCAGTGGGGGAAGTGCTTTGCCAAAATTAACTTCCCATTAGGAGAGCGTGCATGTGGAGGGCACAGGGGGTCTTGTGAATGGCATTCGCCCGCTCACTGCAGACCTCCCGGGACTGGACCATCGTTTCCACCTCAGGGACCATGCAGAGCCGGGGATGTGTGTGTGTGTGGCTCTGCTCACCGAAGGGCCGCACCTGTCCCTTCTCCTGGGCCACTGGGTAAAGAGAATACTGATGTATGTGCCTGACAACACAGGACTGGGTCAGCAGTTTTTAAGCCTTTATGGTACTTTTTGTCAAAACAGATCTTGTGCGGGATTCTAACACACCAAGCACATACGAGAGGAGCAGCGATGGCTGAGCGGCGGTGGGAGACCCAGAGCCCTGGGGCTGCCCCCCCCACCCCTTGGCCAGCCCCCGAGGGAGCCCACAGAACCCTGCTCCACAGAAAACAGCCTGAGCCCCCCACGTGATGAGAGGCACCGTGCTGTGAGCCAGCGGCCATGTATGTGACCTTCGCCCAGCCCCCTGACCTCAGCCTTACCCTGCCCACTTGGATGGAGGGGATGGTGACAGGCTCCCCGGCGACTGCCCCAGGGTCACTGTGAGGTTAAAGGCGCTGATGCTCATGAAAAGGCTCTACTAACTGGAATGTGCTGACAGGATGCAAGCTCTCTTCCTCTCCAGTAAATCTCTCTCAGGGGTAAGATAACTTGATTAGATGCTGTTGTCAGGCGCTAGGCACTGTTGCTTTACGGCTTGACTCTTGAGAAGTTCACTGGCGATTTACACTGAATTGTCAAGGAGGAGTAAACAGGGTGGCTTATGCAGGGTATCTGAAAAGTACGCCCGACTCCCAGGCCACCCCTAGCTTCCCCTTTCCTAGCTCAGAAGCAAAAGACGTGCGCCACGAAAACGTCAACTAGGAATCGATGAAACGCAAAGCACATCAGCAGCACCACTTCCTGCCTAGCAGATATCGAAGATTTAAAACATAATGACACTAACAATAATTACCTGATAAGATACTATTGTACTTTCTTATAAACTGGTATACTCTCCCTAAAAAAGCACGTCGGCAAATCTGGAGTGTAGCTGACAGTACTGCACTGTGTCAATTTGCTGGTGTGATCCCCAAACTATGGTATAGCAGATGTTACCACTGGGGGAGCTGGGTGAAGGGTACATGGCACTTTCTATACTAGTTTGGCAACTTCTATGTGAACCTAATATTATTTCAAAATAAAAAATTTAAAAAGCAATCATTTGACCATAAGTATCAAAAGCTTAAGAAAGGTCCCACCCACTTCGAGGAATCTAGTTTAAGGATTATCAATGATGCACAAAGGTATTTGTTGCAGTGCAATAGACAAATGCAAACAAAACAAAACACAACATATGAAAACAGCCAAAATGTCGAGTAATATAAGAATGGTTAAAAAAAAAAAAAGGGACAAAACATTACCTGGTCATTGAAAGTCATTTGTAAGTAATTTTCAATGACAGTGGAAAATGCTTTTTCCCTTTTTTGACATTTTTGGCAGGATACAGCACTGAATATATACAGTTTGACTTTAGCTATTGTTTGGGAATAGGTACACACAAAGGAAAAGGAAAAAACTTGTAAAAAATATATATACGAACGTTAAGAAATAGATTCTAAAGCTCCCTGAGTACAGCGACTTGATCTGTTTCATTCACTCCTGGGTCTCCTGCATCTGGAACTGTGTCTGGCATGTAGTGGGCATGCAATGAACTGCATATTGTTGAATTTATATGGGAAATGTAAAATTATGAGGAAATGTTATTTGCTGTTCTACAAATTTTCCACAGAGAGTAGGCAAGATTTCCATAATCAGAAAAAAAAAAAGAAGCTTGTTTTTAAGCCGTATGAGAGGCATATTCCTCATGGTTTTCTGAGATGTTTATTCTTTTGAGGGGGTGTGAACAGAGGTACCAGCAGAGCCACTGGTCCTGCACCCGCTGGTCCTGCTGGGTCATCCTCACACTGCTGAGAAAACAACGAAGGGTGGAGAAAACCAGCAAAAGAGGAGGGCAAAGGCAAGAGCAGCCAAGGTCCAGTGTCCAGTTTCCTGCCTCACTTTTTATCTAGTCAGCACACGCTCTGTGAAGAGCCTACTCCCCCTCAGCCTGAGACGGTGGGGCGTTACCTGTACAGTAGACGGTCTGCGCCACGGTGGCCGCGAGGATGCTGGCCAGCCCGGTGCCCGCCCCGAGCTCCAGCACCGTGCGACCCTGGAAGAGGTCCCGCTGGGACAGGATGTAGTCCGCCAGGAACAGGGCGCCCCGCCACACCTGGAGGGGAGAGGGACCAGGAACAAAGGTGGCCTGCGGCTCCCGAGAGACCCTTCAGGGCCGTGGGAAGCGGACGGGACCTACCCACCTGCTTGCCAACATCCTCCAGGGGGGTGGCCATGGTGTGCTCTGGACGGGACGGAAACCGAGAGAGAAAGGGCCACCGTGAAAACGGGGATGGACAGAACAGAGACAGACGGGGTGTGGGGGAGGCAGCAGAAACACAGGCCAGGCTACAGTCAGGAGGGGGCGTGTGAGCGTCACTCTCATTCAGATCCCTGGGTCTCTCTGCCCGCAGCCCAGAGACTCGGGTCACAGGAGGACCTGGCCCAACTTAATCAAACACACATACCCCACACTCCACTTTTTTATGTTCGGTAACCACATGTTACGATCATACTATATTTATGTTCTTTTGATCAACTGTACGGGAATAATAATCACAACCCACTCCAAAATATTTTCTTACACTCAGAACCACACTAGAAGCTAACAAAGGAAGTTTCAGATTATATCCTTTTTAGATGAAAAATAAGTATGTTAGGGAGTGTTCTCAAGCACAAAATACATTAGGACAAAATCTGGTGCTGGTTGTTGGGGGGAGGTGGAGAACAGAACTATGAGATCAAGGAGAAAAGGGAATGATGGCAAACGTTTTTCCTGTTAAATAAGAACCGGCTCTCGTATCTTTAAGCAAGATGGTGATGGCCATCAAAACACAACACACGCACGGCAGACTAGTTCACATCAAACCCCAGGCTCACCTCAAACCGGGAGCAGGGAGCGGGGGTGGCGGGGGGAGGGGACAGCAAGGCTGAAGGGGTGTGTGTCTGTGTCTGTGTCTGTATGAGTGTGCACGTGCCTGAGAGAAGAGGCCTCCTCGCTTTCCAGCCCTGCTCCGGACCCTCAGTGTCAGCTTCCCCCATCCTGCCCATCCCTCTTCCCCAGTCTCTGCAGCCCCACGGCATACTGTCCCTGGCCCACTGGCCCCCGGCTGGGGTGCGCGTCTCCCCTCCTCCCATCTTTCTTTGTCTCCTTCCAGTTTGCCGGGCTGAGCCAGGGGTGCCCTCCCACGGGGACCTCAGTCGTCTATGCCTGGTCTTTTCTCCGAGGGGGCCCGTGGACTTAAGTTTTGCCTCCAGCTGCATTTGAGGGGTGCTCAGCTTCCCTTGAGTGAGAACATGGACTGAGCTCAGAAAGGCCTGCGTGTGAGCCAGGCTCAGTCACGCAGTCTGGCCGGTGGCGTGAGTCACTGAACTTCTCAGCACCAGAGCCACAGTTTGCTCCTTTACAAGATACAGAAATAACATCACCTCATTCATGGGCTCAATGGCCTCCCTAACCAGGGTCAAGGGCAGAGAGCTCCTGCCCCAGAGGAAAGTCACACTTTATATTTAAACAATTCCAGTGGCGTCTTAAGAACATAAAAGCCCAGCCTGAGGAACACACGAGAAACTCCAGGGTTGGCAAATGGGGTTAGACAGACAGTCTTAGTATCTGAGCTGTACCCTGCCCCTACCAGGACTGTCTCTAGACCTGCAGGAACCCAGACTCTCCTCCTCAGCCCGTCTCCCTCCTCCACACTCAGATCAGTCCCCTGGAATGAAAGCTGACAGCAGCTCACGTTTTTTGAGCACCTACTATGCACCAAGCACTGTGTTAAGAACTCTACATGTGCCATCTCTCTCAGTTCCTCACAACCAGAGATTATACCCATTTTACTGACAAGAAAACTGAACTCTGAGAGGTTAACGTACTTGCCCAAGTCACAGGCCAATGGAAAAGGCACGTGACTTGGGATCCGACAGCCCAAGTTCTAGCCCTGCCTCCTCTGAGTTCTCTTTGCATCCCAGTTTATCTATAAAATGGGGAAAATGATCATAATTTACTTTGAACCTTGGGTCTGTGGATTCCTAGCAGGTTCGTGGATAAACTTTAGATTTTTGACAATCCCTGGAAGTAGTCTGGAAAACACATTCTCCTCCCCCTAAGAGAATTTTATTTTAATCAGTTTCTCAAATGGGTCTATAACCTTAAAAAAAGGCTGGGCTTACGAATGGGAGGAACAGGGTGGCCAGGGGAGGGACACCTGCTTAGCACCTGCTCTGCACCAGGCCCTGCAGGAGCACTTACGGGGCAGTATTTATGAAATCACCACCAAAACCCAGGGAGGGCAGCTTCCCCAACCCCCTTTCATAGGTCCAAAAACTTGAGGCTCTGGGTGGGCAGGATACTTGTCCGGGGTCCCCTGGCTTGTGAGGGGTGGAGGAGCTCTACAGGATCCTGAGACCAGGACCCCTTCCCCTGTGCCACATTTTACAGATGTGAGTGTACAGCTGCGGATGGAATAGTTAGGAGTTACTGCTTAAGCTCAGGTATTCAATGACCTTTCTATTCTCCTCCCTCAGGGCAGGTAGGGACCGAGCGACAGTGAGCCAAAAAGGAGGGCGAATTTCCAGGCGCTGTGAGATGGGGCTTCACAGCGAGGCAGAGCTGGCGGCACACTGACCCTACCCTGCCCTGTGGGACTTTGTTCTCAGCTTGCAGGATGGGAAATTCCTGGAACATTAAACATGCGCCCTGGAGGCCAAACAGCTCGCTGTGAAGTCTGCTGCCCCCCTCCTCAGGGAGGCCAGTTAAGTGACGGCTGAGGGAAAGGAGCAGTCATCGACCCCCACGAATAACACTTTCCAATGTTCTGATCACGTGACATGGGTAAGAAACATGGGCTGTGGTGTCAGATGGACCTGAGTGTGAGTCAAGGCTCTGCCACTGACTAGCTGTGTGATCTTGGGCAAGTTCCTCAACCTCTCTGAGCCTCAGTTCCCTCCTCTGTGAAATGGGAATACTCATCCCTGGAAAGGCCATGAGGACCAGAGGTAATCCACAGAAAACAGGGTAGAGCCCCCACCAGGGTGGTCTAGAACCAGCCTGCCTGGTACCCAGCAGGCCCTCGGTAACCGTCTGCTGAACGGATGACCGCACGGCTATCAGAGCTGCTGTTCTGTCTGGGTTTCTGAGAGCACCCAGTGGACCCCATATGCGCAACCCAGGCCAGTGCTGGGGGAGGCCTTTACCTGGGACCTCAGGCACTATCCAGGACCCTGCATCTCAGTGAACAGACTCACATCACAGCAGTGCTGGGGATGGCCAGAGTCCTGGCTGTGGAGATGGATCACACGGACTCAGAAACTTCCTCCCTGCCCCCAAACGGCACGGCCTTGGGCTCGTCACTTCCTCATTAGTAGCACCCCTCAGAGAGGCTGAGAAGACTATGTGAGATGATGAAGGTGAACATCAAAGCACTATAGGTGCCTCATCGTCTCTGGCTTCCTTCCTGACCTGGCTGCTCTCCACTCCTGGCATTTCCAAACATCAAAGTCCCTGAGTCACCAAAGCCCTCTGCCTGCCCCTATGCCCGGCCATGGATGCTCTGGGCCCTGCCTGAGTGCCTGCTGAAACCTCCTTCCGCCCCACCTCTCCTGCCACTGCATCCCTGCCTCCTCCACCCCCCACACCCCCAGCTTCTAGCTCCCAGCCCATCTGATGGGCCCACACACTCCTCCAGGTTAACTCTGGATCTCCCTCCCCCTCCCTCCCCCTCTGCCCTGCTCCAGCTCCAGAATCTGCCATGGCTCCCTGCTGCGGGCTCCTGTGGGCCAAATCTTCCAAAAACAACCCCGACCCACACCCTGGCATGCTACGTAGGATCAGAGTACTGATGCAGGAGGCAGCAGCACTGAAGCTTCTGGAGCAGGGGATGGCCAAGCTGGGACTTGTACAATCGGGAATGTGTTAGGGAGCGAGCCCTCTGAGGAGGAGGCAGAAGCAGAGGTGCGCAGGGAGAAGGCGCACAGAGGCTGAGCGGGTGAGGCTGGTGTGAGTTGAGGCTGGAGAGGAGGGCGGAGCCACCTCACACAGGGGCCCTGGAGCTATGCTGAGCGTGTGTACTGTGTCCCGAGGGCAATGGGGAGCCACTGAAGAGTCTGGAGCAGGAGGGTGACCCGACAGCACTTTGGCAAGCTCCCCTGCTGCCAGCGGCACTACTGGCTCCCAGTGTCTGGACGCCGGTTCTGCTAACCTGTCCTGCCCTGAGATGCCCGGATGGGCCCGTGCTCAGCAGCCTTGTGCCCTGACCAACGCTGTGGTGCCGCCTGGCGGCAGGTGAGCAGCCCTTTATTACCTATTTTGATGACATCGTAGGGGCCACTCTCTCGTGCTTCGTCTCCCAGGACGTCATCTTCCTCCTGCGTTAGAATCATGGGATGTACCTTGTCTCTCGGAGGCCCCAAGGGCTTGGAGGGAGAGGCAGCCCGTGGTCTTCTCACAACGTCCAAATCCCCATCCTCGTCCAGCTGAGCTGCCATCCCCTCCTGGCTGGTGGCGTCGGCCCCAGCCTGGAGGGAGACTCCCTCACTGCTGCAGCTGCTTCTGGCGGGAGAAGTCACCTCTGCGTGATGGGCTCTGTGATTGCCACCCTCAGCCCCCGAGTCTGTCTGAGAGGCTTGGTTCCACAGAAGCTTGAACTGGGACAGGAAGACTGAAAGGCAAGACAAAACACAAAAGCAGAATATTTCTAAACCGTCTCCTTTTCTATTTCCCTTCCTCAATTTCCACCTGGGAAGAGTTTTAAAGGCCAGGTGAAAAAAAAAAAGGACAAGGACCTACTGTATAGCACAGGGAACTATATTCAATATCCGGTAAATAAACCATAATTGAAAAGAAAAAAAAAAGAAAGGCCAGGTGGAAATATCATAAAACCAGCAGCAAAGGTCTGTCTGATCCAGCTGTGACGCTGCAGCCTCCAGAGCAGCCCCGCCGATGAGCACCTGCACTGCAGGTGCTCGGCTCACAAGACCGCATTTACTCCTTACAGCGGCTATGAAAGTGGCAGTGTCACTCTATTTTATTTTTTATTTAAAAATTTTTTGGCTGCGCCACACGGCTTATAGGATTTTGGTTCCCGACCAGGGATGGGACCCACACCCCCTGTAGTGGAAGTGCGGTGTCTTAACCACCAGACCACCAGGGAAGTCCCAGTGTCACTCTGTTTTACAGATGTGGAGGCTGAGGCTCAGAGGTTACGTGAGCTGACCAAGGTCACACAGCTGTGGGCGTGGCTGAGGCAGGATTCAAACCCGGTCTACTCAACCCCTGCGCTTCTGCCCTCCTCACTGTTCAGCCTTAAGGTTGGAAGTGAGGACAAGGATACTGTGTCCCTCACCACCAGGCGGCCAGAAAGTCACTGGGACAGGCTTTGGTAAGAGTGTGGGCGCCGGGAGAGTTGGGCTGGAGGCAGGGGGTGTCCTGGGCCAGAGTCCTCCACATCCCCCGACTGTCTGACCCTGGGGCAACTCGCTTATCTGTTCTGAGCCTCAGTTTCCTGAATCCAGGAATCCAAACTGGGACATGAGGGAAAGGGGAGTTATGAACTGCACCAGAACAAGCAAATACAACAGTGATCGGAGCTGGGGAGGGCGGCCAGGGAGGGAAGAACGTTCTAGGCAGAGCGAAAAGCAAGGGCAAAGGTGCTCAGAGAGGAAGGTACATGCAGTGTGTGAGGGGCGGAAAGGGGCAGAAAGTGGCCACTGAGCAGCGAGGGCGGGAGAGAGAAGTGTGGACACACGGGCAGGGGCTGGGCCTCGCAGGCCAAAGTGAGGGCTCTGATTTCCTTCTAAGAGCAAGGGAAGCCACTGGAGGGTCTAAATCAGGGCAGTGGTATGATCTGCATTTTTCAAAGGACCCCCTGGGATGCTGGGGAGAGGAGTGAGGGAGTGTGTGCAGGAGAAAAACCAGGGAGCCCTGGTGGGAGGAGTCAGCCGGGGGTAGGGGCAGTGGGCTGGGGGAGTCCCCGGGCCCCGATTCCCCCACTGGCCCGTGGGCTCCCCCAGGCAGAGCTTGACTCATTCCCTCTGCGTTCCCAGCATCGCGTCCAGGTCTGGCACAGAGCGGGTGCTCGGGAAAGCACAGGGGTTTGCTCAGTGAAACAAGGGCACTTAAGAAGTGGTGTGAGGATAAGCTAAACAATCCAGTCTTCCCAATCTTTTCTGGGAGAAAGCAGGAAACACAATGGGCTCCCTGGGGTGCAGGGACCTTACCGGGCTGCCCCACGCCACTCAGCCGCACCATGAGATGTCTCTGGTTTGGGGTGTGGAGGTGGACGTCTGACAGCACGGTGTCGCTTTTGAAGGTGATCTCGTCCATGGCCGGGGAGGGAGACGGCAACCATGGCCTGGGCTCCCCATCAACCATGGGACAGCAGCACCTAAGAGGCGAAAGCAAGTCCTCAGGACAGCAGGTCCCAGAGGGGAACAGTGTAAACGACCCCAGCCAGGTGGCAGAGAGCTCCCTTTTCAATCCTCTCTTAATTCTTCCTGAAGGAGAAAGTCTCAGAGCCTTGGCAAGGGAACAGAATGCAGCTAGAACGGTTATTTTGTTTTGCACTGTGTTCATTTTCATAGTAATCGTTTATTTATGGCAAGAGATCTACATTTCCATTTATACTGATAAAGTTTTCCTTTCCTTTTTTATTTTTTCCAATTTTTTTATTATGAAAATTTTCAAATAGCAAGTTGAGGGCATAGCATAATAAACAGCCATATACCCACTGCTTAGATTCAATGATCATTAATGCTTTTTCACGTGATAAATCGATCCGTCTATCTAGGTTTTTTCTCCCCTGAACTGAGCACCTTCTAGACATCACATCATTTAACCCCTAAATAATTCTTCAGCATCTGTCTCCAAAGAACATGCTCCTACATAACCATAAGACCATTAGCAGACCTAAAACAATGAACGATTCCCTTATACCATTTAAAACCCAGTTCATAATCAATTTTCTCCATTTGACACCCAAACGTCCTTTGCAGCTAGTTTTTCCTAAACCAGTATTCAATCACAATTTATGCTTTGCATTTAGGAGTTGTTTTCCCTATAACCTTTTTCTTCTAGAAGTTAGCCCCAGCTGCCCATATATCATTTGTTTTTAAACCTTCTTCTTAAATTAAAAAAAGTGAGTGGATTTAAAGGAAAAGCAACTAAGGGAATCACTGTACGGGTGATATACAGATGTGGAAAAATTATGAAGGCGACACAGCAATAACTAAAATTTGGAAAACCAGGCTGGAGGTAAGGTGGTCAAAACCAGGAAGGCTTTTCGTCCATCCAAATGTTCCACCTCATCAAAAAGCATTAAACAGCAGCAGCCGCGTGCAGACAGAGCCTTGAGCTGTGATGCTGGGCAGAGCAGGGATAAACCCAGTCTCCTACCTCCTTGCTACATGACCTTGAGAAAATTACTCCACCTCTCTGGACCCGTTTCTTCAGCTACATTCTCACCTTGCAGGGTTGGCAGTAGGTGGGGGGATGAGGGGGGATATGTGGGGGAAGGGTGTTAAGTGCTGAGCAGAGCCCTTGGTCCGCAGCAATTGTTAATAAATCCTTGGTTTCTGATGCTTGACCCAAACCTGCCCACAATCCCTGACCTCCTACGGGAACCGTCCCTACTTGGGTGTGTGTGTGCACTACGTGTGTGCTCCACGCACGTCATGAGACCTCTCGGGCCTCCATTTCTTTAACTGGAAAATGGGATCGTCATAACCCAGGCTGTCCACAATCTGAGTCCACATAACTGGAGTGCCTACATTTAAGTACTTTCCACAGGGTAGCAAAAGTTGTACCAACACAAACATTTTTATAAAAGAGTCGCCCCTTGCTGGCTGGCTTTCCTATCTAACACTATAAGCCAGCACAAAGCAAGTGGCTTGTGAAGTGAGCCTGTGAATCTGGCAAACGGATGCAGGATTTCATGGTGTCAATGAAAGCAATGAAGAAGAAATGCTCGACCCTCAGGCAAAAGTCCTCAACCAATGTGGACTGGAAAAATTAGGATAGATCCAGGAAGAGTATCCAGTATAAATACATCTTAGACCTCCCATGACCAATCGTTTTATAGACAGATCTGGCTCTCCCGGGACTGAAAGAGATCCTGGGGGAAAATATTGCAATCGCATACCAAATTTTCTTAAATACAGAGAAAAGCCAAACCCGTATTCTTAATTTCTAGTTGAAATTTCAAATTTAAAATCCAACCTGCACAGGTCTCCCAGGAAACGCACTCTACAATGGAGTACTAGGTTAAGTGGATTCCCTGTAAGGGGCTTTTCCTAGAACCAGATCTCTGGGAATGCAGAAGCACTTTGTACCTGTCTCAGCGTCTGTGTGAGGATTAAATGAGACAATGATCATTTTCAGGGCTCAGGACATATTAAGTGCTCAATAAATGACAATAGAAAATATTATCATTATAGTGTTGATAAGAATAATTATTAACTGATGTGCTGGAAGATGTAATAAGGCAATAGCTTCTCTATTTAGGAATAGCTGACTCACAGTCTCTGTCTGGGAATGCTGGGGCTGGATGGGCTTCAGTCCCCTCTTCTCACTGGGGAGGAGGGAAAGGACACCCCGACTGCAGATGGGACCTCTGCTTCCTCCTTTGGGCATCTGACAAGTGTCCTTGGCTCCTCTAAGGCTGTAGGGGCCAGACGCAGACGCTGTCATCCTAACCCTGTCAGGAGTGCCCACTAAAAGCAGTTTGCTGGGATCTGGGGGTTGAAATGCCTCCCCGCCTCCCAGGCTTTCTCTCTGCCAGGTGTCACAAGGTCATCAACAATCAGGAAGCAGGAGGGATTCTGACACTGAGGCCCGGGTCTGTGGGGCAAAGACTTGGCCCTGGCCGCGGCGCGGAGCCGTAGTTAGGGGCTCCAGGGTCCTCGACCCTCGGGGCTCTTCGTTCTCTCTGTCTTGCCGCTCCCTTAACTCCAGCTGGCGAGCTAAGCATTGCCCTCTCAAACTGCAGTCACAGCTCGGGCATCACCCTCCCTTCCTAATCCAAAACCAAGGGGGCTGCGTGGACCCCGAACGGAAACCCAGAGGAAGGCATGGACTCCTCCCAACACCCTGGCTTAGACGGGGAAACTGAGGCTGAGTGGGGACTTAGGCTTCAGGCCCGTGGGAGCCCGCACTTCAAGGCCAGGCTCGGTGCCAGGAGGCTCCCTGCACCCTTCCGCGTGCCGCCGCCTCTCCCACGGGCTTACCCACCGCCGGCCGCTGCCTGAAGTCCCAACCGAAACGCTCACCACGGTGCGCAAGCTGCTGCCATTGCAGGCAGCCTGCGCAGGCGCGGCCCCACCCCCTGCGCGCGTGTCCCTCCTCGTCGCCCTGACCACGCCTACCTGCCGAAGCGCGCATGCGTGCCAGCCTCGCTGGCAGACTGGTGCAGCCCTGAGGAGGTGAGTTTCGCACCTGCACAGGTCTGCTCTCACCTGCCCTGGTTTAATGGGGTGGCCGGCCTGGGTGGGACGGGTCTGCGAGAGGGGGGCCGTTAGGTCGCCCCAGGTCACCCAGCTGAGTGGCAAGGCTTGGATTCGAACCCGGGTAATAGGGCTCTAGAGCCTGTGATGTTAACCAGCATACTAGCTATATACTAATTATCGTTATCCCTGCTCTTAGTACTTATCAATATAATAGCTGGTACTCGTTTCATTCATTCATCCACTCGTCAAGTCTCCAACACCAGGCGAATGAAGAACCTCAGGTTAATTAGCGTCTAACAGGAAATGAAATCTGATACAACTATTGCACTTCAAGTAAGCTTCCAAGCACATAGGACCACAGATGTAAAATGTGCACACATTTACATGCACATACGGAGGGTCAACATCAGTTTCATGGATAAAACATGAGGGGGTGGTTAATAGAGTGAGCAAGCAACATAAATGTTTTTAAAGGAAACAGATTGTTTCTTGAACTCCCCAGGATAGTACAGAGGGAGCCGGCTGGGCATCTTGGGACCCCGTTCTAGTCTTGGTTGGGTTGTTCCCAGGGGATGTCTGGGTGCTAGGAGGGCACCGAGGAAGGTGGTGTAGACACTTCTGGGTTTTTTGTCTAAAAGCTTGTGAGAATAAAGCAGGCAGAGCCATCTTTTAAAAACAAAAGTCAGATTACGTCCCTCCTCTGTTCAAACCCTTGGAGGCCCCCACCTTGGACAGAAGGAAGTCAGTATTCTCACAGTCATCCCCTCCCCATCTCATACCCGACTCTGCTCCCTCCTATTCACCCGGGAGGCTTCTCTCCAGGACACCCACCTGCCTTGTTCCATTCCCTCACCTCCTTCTGGCCTGTGCTAAGGCATCATCCTCTTCTCAGTGAGATCTTCCCAGACCATCCTATTTAAAATAACCGCTTCTCGGGGAATTCCCTGGTGGTCTAGTGGTTTGGACTCTGCGCTTCCACTGCTGGGGGCCCAGGTTCGATCCCTGGTCAGGGAACGAAGATCCTGCAATCCCCAGGCCCTGGCCAAAAAAAAAAAAAAAAGCCACCTCTCCCCACCCAGGCACTCCCTGGTGCATAGGAGCTGCTCAAAAAGTTCAATTTGTCGAATGAAAGAAGAAGGAAAGAGGAATGTGTGCTCACGGGGTGTGCAGAGAGGGTAGACAAAAGCAGACGTGATGTCACTGCCCATCTTTGGGCTGCCCAGATGTGTTAGGGAGCTGGACAGAGAGCTGCTGGGGGTCTGGGTAGCTCCTCACTGAGATGTTGAGGTAATTCAGGTCATCCCAGGCTTCCTGTCATCCTCAGCGTCAAGTTCAAACTCCACTTGGACCCCGTTAACCTTTCCTCCCTGAGACACGGACAGTATCCATTCTCCTCTCCTCCTATAGTTGTATAGTATTTTTGCTGGGCACACGCCTCTCTCAAATTAAAGACTATTTCCCAGCCTCCCTTGCAATAGCAAGGACATGGGGTTAAACTAAAGGGATTAAGCCAATGGGATGTAAAGGGAAGTGTTACGGAGCAGTTTCCGGGACCCTTCCTTAAGCAGGAAACTGGGGAGTCCTTGGTTCCTAATACTTTGTCCCTTCCATCATCCATGAGGCCCAAAACAGATGTGCTATGAGGGCTCTACACTAAGTTATGGCAGAGTGGCAAACCTACTTGGGGGTCACCTCCTCCAGGAAGCCTTCCCTGATTCCCCCTCCTCCAGTTCACGACTATGAGTCTCTGGGCCCTCCCGGTCCTCTCTACTGTCTCCATCAGAGCACCTGTGACTCCCCCACCAGGTTGTGAGTGCCTTGGAGGCAGGAGCAGCTGCTGGTTCCCATCAGCAACTTATGCAGGATTTCTCCGTATCCACAAAGGAAAAGGGAATAATGCTTGTAAAGCAGTTAGCATCATCCTCGGCATGCTATGAGTACTCAAGAAATGACAAGAGCACCTATAAACTATAACAGTTGACCCTTGAACAACATGGGTTTGAATTGTGCATCATGGGTCAATTTATAGGAGGATTTTTTTCACTAAACAGGTACTGTGGTACTATACAATCTGTGGTTTGTTGAATCTGCTGGCTGTAAAGTTATATTTGGATTTTCTTTTGTTTTCTTTTTCAAATTATTTTCCCATTTAGGTTATTATAGAATATTGAGCAGAGTTCCCTGTGCTATACAGTAGGTCCTATATTTGGATTTTCAATTCTGCAGAGGGTCAGTGCCCCTAACCCCTGCGTTGTTCACAGGTCAACTATATTATTGCTTATACTAGTTCATTCAGGTGGTAAACGCCCCAGACATGTCTGAGGGGGCAGGCAGGTGTAGACCCTCTGGTCAACAGGTCCAGCTGAATCCATTGTTCACCATTCGGCCAGGCCCTGCAAATGTGAATGATGGAACTGTATTAAGGTTCTTATGGCTGCTGTAACAAATTACCACAAGTTTGGTGGCTTAAAACAAAATGAATTTATTTTTTCACAGTCCTGGAGGCCAGAAGTTCAAAATCAAGGTGTCATCAGGGCTGGGTTCTCTCCAAAGGCTCTCAGGAAGGATCCTTCTGTATTAGCTTGAGCTGCTGTAACAAACTATTATAGGTTGAGGGGCTTAAACAACTGAAATTTATTTTCTCACAGTTTTGGAGGCTGGAAGTCTGAGATCAAGGTG